TGCATAATTTGCCCCAGTGGTAGAGACGGTGATTGCATGAGCTCGGGTATAGTTTATCTGATCTCCTGTAAGACGTGTGGTGACGAATACATTGGTGAAACGGGTAGACCCCTCTGTGTCCGCATGAAAGAACACCTAGCCGGCAAAAATAGACCAAATACCCCGCTAGGCAAGCATAGGACCCAGAGACATAACGGGGACGACTTCGAAGTATGTGTCACGATCCTCGCACGCGAATCAAGAACACAGGCGCGAAAAACTCTCGAGGCACTCTGGATTAATTCCAGAAATCCAAAAATGAACCGCAGGGAAGAATGCCTCATTATCACGCGTGATATAGGGCAGTATATAAAACTGCTTTTCTGATGTGAGGGGCACATTATACTTCCACGTGATTTCTGTGCGGTTGGTCTCTACGTGACATACTTAGTGGAGACCTCAAAGAAAGCGGTGAGTGTGCAAAGCTGTGTTCAATGTGATTGAAATCTTGGTTTGGAGTTTCTTTGTTTGGTTATGGAGGCGTCTGGCCGAGTGGATTGCTATCAACTTGACCTTTCCAGGCTCTGAAGAAGGCGAAATCCGCCGAAACGTCAGCTTAATCGTGAACAAGGAATAGTAACACCTCGCGTTTGCTCAACAAAAATACGAAGAAAACCCTAGCGTTTCACGGTTATCACATGCGATCCGTATAGCTCTAGGTATGAAGAAATTTCGGTTAGAAATTATCTTTTACTTCAATAAGAGCATTTCTTCACAGAGCAAACATTCAGTAAACATCTATCAGAGCATTAACATTTGATTAACTTGTATATTCGACTGCAAAACAACTTTTTCTTGAGCTCACACTACTACCGTTTAAAACTCATTCAACATGGTAAGCCTGAAAGCTCCTTTTTCTCAAAAAAATAAAGCACCATCTTATTTTAGTGGATTTACGAACGAATAGGATGTCTTAGAAGGCAGCATTACTGAGCAAACGGTCTACCAGCTAACATTTTTCTCCAGCTCCGATTCCCGTCCGCATATTCAGGTATAATTTTTTTTTGCAATTTTCTAAACACTTTTGTTGCAGAGAAATTTTCTTAGAAAAATCTGATTGTCGACTTCGAAGGATATAAAACTCGCTTGATTTGGAGCGGGTCGAACCAGAACTCTGCGCCGCGTATTATTGTATAGCATCGCTGCACACTACGCTCCCCCTCCCATTGTAATTTCCGACAAAAGCAACTAGGAGTTATCTGGTTATTATAAACCTGAAGGAGAGAGACAATAAAATACATGGCCGGTGTTTCTCATGTGCATAAAGTAACCTTAAGAGCAAAGTGTATAACTAAACAAAGAAACAAATGAAACAACAGAAAAGCGATGATGGAAAGTTTCCGAAAAAGGTGATCGATCTTAAAACATATATTTCCAATGTACCATCGATTTTCAGTGAAAGCACTATTGGCATCATGCGACTGATTGTAATCTTGCGAAGCTCTTCATTGATTACTCAACACGAAGACGCAGTGGTTAAGATAGGGAGTGCAGACGACCAGCGCATTTTCCCACGCCGGGTCATGGGAAAAGTGGGAGGATCGGCGCCCGGGGCACTAACAGTCATCGGTGTAGTTGAAATCACCGAAACGAATACAGATCCAGTCCATCAGTTTGCTTGGGCTACATCTACTCGGCTGTCATCAAGCAGCCATGTATGGGAAGACGGTACTAGAGTCCAAGCCGGAACGTCTTAGGCAAAATGTAGGGATGTTTGGCAGTAAGGTGGGTTGTATATTTTCGTTTAGAATCGTCGTTGATGATTATTCGTTGCTTGTCACAATGACAAAAAGCCACAGATTTCCTGTGACGATTGGTGCATGGTATTTACTGCACTGACTGATTGGCTTTGATATTCATGTGGATGTGGTTTCCAAAGCTCATTTGTGTTGGATGCAATTAATACCATGCATAGTACGGTGATATGAAAGACGACCGTTGCTCGCTCTGTAGTAGAAATTGAATTTCGGACAGCTTCCTTATAGGCTGGTCTTAGTGCTCTGAGCACGTAACTTTGAATTTGTTTGATTGATAAGATGAGACTGGCCATAATTGTGATGTCTTCTGATTGCTCTTCGTTTAGAATGGGAAATTAGAGCTCGAGTTGAAGAAAATCACAAATGATGAGAACGGCGAGAACAGAAATCCCATTTTTACGGATTGCTGGGTTGGTTTTATCTCACCTTTTTGCCTTGTCTGCAATATAGTCAGTCCTATCGAGAGTCTAGTGTGAATGCACTCCAATACGTGGAAACACTTTGAGGAAAGAAGAAGAAGAAGAAGAAATTTTGCAAATACTTCACTTTATAAAGGCCACAGGGTGAGCCTGTGACAGCATTGATGTTGTTTGTGTTTACACTTTAGCACTTAACATGTCATCAGATGTGGTGAAAGGTCATAAGACCGTCAACACAATTGATATTTCAGTGGTGTTTTACTCATCCTATAAGATTTTCTCCTGGAACGCCATGCTAGAGCTTTCAAGGGCAGTCACTGCTTGCGTACAGTCCCATTCATACAGTGTTTCTAACCACTCTCACTTTCTAGCGCTTTCAAGCGGTTTCGAGTAGAACATGATGTAGGGTGTAAGCCAAAACACTGCAAACGCTTACGATGAAAACCGTGCTGAAAAGTTTGAGTTCTTCAACATGCTTTCCCCATTGCTAGAATTCTTCTGTAGCAGTGTGGGTTCTAGAGACTTGAATTGTAAGATATGTACCCATCCGGTATGGAATGCATCCTATTGGATGTTCACGAGTGGTTCTGTGAAAAAATAACGTACTTCTAGCAAGAGTCTCTGGACTTGAATTTGAACGAGGTTCTACGTGCATGCGAAGATAGGAAGGAGTTGCTTCAATATCGCGGAAAACTTCCGCGCGATGGATGGTGCAACGGTGAATCGAGCAAGAATCCCTCGTCTTCAGATTCCAATGAGGTGGCTTCTGAGTTCCCAAAGTTCATCATAGTCTATTGTAAACCGACTTTCATTTAACCATGGTATGGATGATCAATGTACCTTATTTAATTGATAAGCGAATACGGGGCCCAAACACTTACTCTCCTAAAATTTCGACGTCTTCGACTTCCCCAATGCCAATGGTCCGAGTCGATGTCGCTCCACAGTCGCTACAAAATAGCGCTGCAGAGGGAGGTTGCTTCATTCGAGCGACGCTCCACTGGAGATTTGACTCGATACGACGACGAAGACACCTCACACAGAAGACCGAAATATTGACTCTAGAGAAGATGTAGACGTAGAAACATCGACCAGATAAATGTTTGGTAACAAACTCGTGCTAGGCTATCAATGAAACAAGGTACATTGTTTTCACCGTGTCCATATTTCTTAGCTCTTTATTACTGAACTTCCTTTCTAGCGTTCCAATCCGACAACATGCTTTCACAGTGGGTCCGGCCAGCTGGTTTTCCAGATCGATCGTAACGTTGAAATAGAAGTGAGTGAATGTGAATATGTTCAAAAGGCTTAAGAAAAATCCAATAAATTGTTCAGAGTTCTACTTTGTGGGAATTTATACTTTGCAAAATGAATCTCTCTGAGCTAGTTTTAATCGCAGGAGGTTGGCTAAGAATATTATTGATTAGTTAGTGTCTCGATGATGTAAATACTGTCTGTATTTGATATAAAAGTGGATTTCGTGTTTTGACAAGGAACTATCAGGCGCTGTATCACTCAGTAGGGAGCATTCCTCTCGGTAGTGTAAATGTGAGGAAGTGACTAGAGCGGGACACAGGACAAGAAATGCTGTTAAGTTTTAGTGTATAGCGGTGGATTCTACAACCCAGAGAGAAACCTAGCGGAACAATCCATTTTACGCTTATCCGGAACTGAATTCTGAGTATTAGTGTAACATACCATAACATAATATACGAAGAATGAAAAATTATGACAGCCGTCAAAAAAGGGAGAAGAATCGCTCATTCTAGGAAGGTTTATAATTGAATACAATTTGTGATACGGACAAGACCTACAGCAGAAATGGTGGTAAATAGTGCTAATACTCTAATCTACGCTGTTATAAAATGCAGTGGCAAAAGCTGTATGTGATTTTTGGTTGGTCTAGAATGTGATACAGAGTCCACAAATGGAAATACGCCCTCCTGACCAACTCGCACCGGGATCGATGCCACCGGATGAGGTACAACGACATGTCAGCGTCATCGGTAAAGATCGGCCGCCGACAATGGTATCGTAGATGGCAGTGACAGCAGCCTATCGACTCATGTTAGGATTAATTTATCGAATTACAGTGTTTTCTTTATAGAATTTTCCGCCCTTCAAGAAAGAACCTGTCTGTTGGTACTGCTACGATAAGTACACGGAGATGTGCCTTGCTCAAGGAAGAAATCCACCTAGTGTCCATGCTCGCGGTATCTGGCGAGGACACTGGATGAAAGATAGAAAAGGCATCACGACGTATGTAATTTATAGCTATTTGTATAACTTACCTATTACATACAATATAGGATAAAAAGGGCGCGTATGGAACGGTGGCCAGAGGCGCCCTGTAACACACGCGTGGAATTGATCCCCGCACCCATGGCCCACCAAGCCTTTTATCTCCCCGGCGTCGCCAAATTGGTACCAGACTTGTCTGGGAGGATAGCAGCACTGGTTCGATACATCGGCAAGCCACCCCAAGTCATCCAGATAGGAAGTCGAATGCATGGTACATCCCTCAAGGATTGATCAACGTCGCGGGCTTTATCCTTTATCCTTATTGGATAAAAACTTCCGCATTGTTCCTTGAGGATGAACCGAAACACAAGATTGAACCGTCGACCATCTCCTTATTGTTGGACACTTCCCACAACTTTGCTACAGCTACACTGTTAAATAGTTGACATATAATATCATTCCTCCATAGAAATAGTATCTTTAACCCCTTATACTGTGTTTGGACCCTTTCCATTGTGTATTTAATCAGAGGTGTTCTTTTCAAATTTCTCATAAACATACTGGTTCTTTTATTAACACGCTATCCCAGACGTGCTCTTATTTTCAAGATTCCCATGTGGTATTCGACATGTGTAACTCACCGACTAGGACTCCCTGTTATAAACCTCCGTACTTGGTTTGATGACCCCACCACTCCCTAAGGGTTCGCTAAGCCTTCCGTCTCTCCACTGTAGAAAAATTACTGTCACACCTATCTAAGAGGACAGCACCACCGACCCTATGCATGCACCTACTCATCTACAGCCATGCCTGGTGAAGTAGAATAGATTATGTGTCCCTCAGTGGATAACCAAAACCTCTTGATTTATCCTAATCCTTCATTTACACATTATTGTATTTTTACTGAAAAGACTAGTTGCTTATAGAAAGCATCATTTTATTTCTTTGCCTGTTATATTCTGGTTTTAAGTATTTGTGAGGAAGTTGCATAGTTTCCGTGTTATCGATGGTCGTTTCAGCTGTCCACATTTGTGGTTCACTAAATGTGAACGTTGTGGAGCTACTGCTGCAGATGCACATACTGATTCATACTGTCCCATGTTCACGTTTAGCAATCTTCGCGTTGACAGCACTTAATGCAACATTTATATGTCTGTATTTGTGTTCTTGTTACTTCTCGCAGTAGCCTGTTTAGTTTTATGACTCTTCGAACGTTGACCAGGGATGTAGTAATTTGATTAGATCTCACCTACACGGTTTACGTCGATCTACCGGTTTGTCATATCACTGGCTACTTCTATAATACTCGCGCAGTTTCATGGCTGTTCAACGTTTTCGATTTTGAGGCAGTTTTAATAAACCTAGTTCTTGGTATGTTATTTGTTCTGCACTTCATTCTGTCCGGGGATACTAAGTCGTTCAGTGATTGTCTTCACGTCCCAAAAGAACAAACTTAGTGAAAAGAGGATCACGTTCATCCTGTCCTTCATTTCCGACGAAAGTACAGCTAGAAGCTGTTGCTTAAAAAAGGCCGAGTTGCGGAAGTCACTGGCATTGATCGGAACACTACCGGAGATATTCAAATCCCAGCTAGTCCACAACTGTTTGTATAGCCGTCTATGCACAGCAAAATTGCTTAAATTTCCCTTATGGTAGAAATGGTGAATGAATAAATGAGTTCGGGTACGGTGTACGTGGTTTTTTGTAAAGCATGCGGGAACGAATACGTTGGTAGCGCGGGTGGAGCACTCTACGCTGGTACAAAACAGCACCTTGTTGGAGGACATACACTCGAAAAATAACACTACTAAGCAAGCACATAGGAAAAAGATAACGGAGAATAATTCCAAGTAAAAGTTACTATCTTCGCAGAGGAATTCAAACATCAGCGCGTAAAACCCTCGAAGCCTTATGAATAAATCTTAACCGTTTTATTTACTGCCTATTCTTAATGACAGGGTATACTGCGAAATATAGCCTCATTGATGCTGAGATATTTGCAAAACTCTGGATCGCAGGTGTCTAAAAGGAGTAGGCAGTGAATAAAACGAAGATTGTGATTATAACTAAAGCTTCAGCTTAACTGCGTTCATTGTCGATTTCGGCTCACCAGATCAATGCCGCTGACGGATGATTGCTGATAGCACTGATCGATAGAACTAGCTGAGACAGGCCAAATTAAGGACCCGCATGGTGTGGTGGTGAACGCGTTACTCCTCGGAAATGACAATAGCGCGTTCGTTCCCCAACGCATACCCCTGGGATCCGGAGTTTTGCAAATATCTCAGTGTCAATGAAGTTATATTCTGGATAAGCCTCAAGAATCCAAAAATGAACCGCAAGGAGGGGTGCCTGTGATCATACATGATCTCGTGCCGTACCATAGATTTTTCGCTCTGAGCCAGACCAACACGGTACTTGTATAGGAGGAGCTCTCCACTATACGAGTAAATATTTCTGTCCATTTTTATCTGCTGGGGTTATGAAAGTGTTTGACAGAGTGGATCGTTTTTTAATTTGATTTTTCCAAGCTCTTAAGAAGACGACACTGCCAAAACGTTGGTAATATTGTACTGATTAAATTTTGTTGCTAACAAACATGTGTCTGTTCACAAACAGAACAGTGAGTTCTTTAGGTGGTCTGGAAAATATTTTGCACAAATTAGAGGGTTGGCGATGGGGCAGCGTTTAGCACCAAGCCTTGCCATCGCTTTCATGTCTAAGGTGGAAGCTCCAGTTCTCGATCACCGACCCTTACTCTACTGTCGATACATAGACGACTGCTTCATCGTCTGTTCCACACAAGAAGAGATGGATGAGTGCTTTGAATTATTAAACCGACAGTCAGAGTATATAAAATTTACATGAGAAAAACCTACCGAGAACTGGCTTCCATTCTTAAACAACCAAATAAAGCTCTCAGTAAGTGGCTATTTAACAAAATGGTATCGCAAGCCAAGTAGTAACAACATTCTAGTCCACTGCCTCTCCTCTCATCCTTCACACATGAAAAAAGCACTTATCAAAAATATGTATCGAATGGCTAAAAATGTGTGCACAGGAGAAGAGGAAAGGAAGGAATCGCGAAACCTGGCACGAAAAATTGCCATTTCCAATGNAAAGCTCTCAGTAAGTGGCTATTTAACAAAATGGTATCGCAAGCCAAGTAGTAACAACATTCTAGTCCACTGCCTCTCCTCTCATCCTTCACACATGAAAAAAGCACTTATCAAAAATATGTATCGAATGGCTAAAAATGTGTGCACAGGAGAAGAGGAAAGGAAGGAATCGCGAAACCTGGCACGAAAAATTGCCATTTCCAATGGCTACGAAGTAGAAACTACTCGGGTTAGAGGAGAACGATGGGTAGTTTCCCAAAATAATATTTCAAACGAAACTAGAATCCCCTTTAAGCTGCCCTTCATATCAAATGAAGTAAGTCACGTCATTAAAANGACATCCCACCCAATACCCTACGCCGCCAGTTAGTTCGAAACCGTCTCTATGATCGTTTGTGCAGCTCAGAAAACTGTATGATCTGTCCTAACGGGAGAGACGGGGATTGCATGAGTTTAGGTATAATATACTTGACCTCATGCGGCGAGGAATATATCGGGGAAACGGGTAGATCACTTTGTGTCCGCATAAAAGAACATCTAGATGGGAAAGCTAAAATCCGTTTAAACACCCCTCTAGGTACGCATAGGGCACAAAAGCACAACGGCGATGATTTTGAAGTGAATGTGCGGATCCTAGCGCAGGAATCAAAAACATCAACGCGCAAAACTCTTGAGCCGTTTTGGATAAATTTCAAANAACTAGAATCCCCTTTAAGCTGCCCTTCATATCAAATGAAGTAAGTCACGTCATTAAAAAGTGCTTAAGAAAAAGTGGTCTTGAAAATTATGTAACGATTGTTGACATCCCACCCAATACCCTACGCCGCCAGTTAGTTCGAAACCGTCTCTATGATCGTTTGTGCAGCTCAGAAAACTGTATGATCTGTCCTAACGGGAGAGACGGGGATTGCATGAGTTTAGGTATAATATACTTGACCTCATGCGGCGAGGAATATATCGGGGAAACGGGTAGATCACTTTGTGTCCGCATAAAAGAACATCTAGATGGGAAAGCTAAAATCCGTTTAAACACCCCTCTAGGTACGCATAGGGCACAAAAGCACAACGGCGATGATTTTGAAGTGAATGTGCGGATCCTAGCGCAGGAATCAAAAACATCAACGCGCAAAACTCTTGAGCCGTTTTGGATAAATTTCAAACATCCAAAGATGAACCGGAAGGACGAATGCCTCACTATCACGCGTGACCTGGCGCCCTATTTCAAAATGATATTTTGACCACGGCGCGTGTCTTGCGCGCGTAAACTACGTGTCGGCCAGTCCCGCACATAACATCACGGTGAATGACCTTTCTGTTCAATATTCCGCTTATTTGGAAGTTTGATCTTCATTAATACTTTAACCTTCTTTTCCACCGAATAATAAAAAGTATTCTAACATAAAGTACGTCCAGGCTCTGAGGAAGGCGAAGTCGCCGAAACGTCAGCCATCGTTCAATAACATCAAAAACAACGACAACGAAGATCTGCACCAACCTCGCGTCAGCTTAAGAAGATTAGTTTACAAGATCACATAAATAAATAGAACAGTGAGTTATTTATTAATGCCAAGGTTAGGAGAAACTCAGTCTCAGGAGCTGTTTTAGTGACTGCCAATGATATCCATCATTATCACAGCAATTCCCCTGGGATCCTCAAAGTAGACGTGAAGGGTTACGGATAAAAAAAAAAGAGGCGCATCTTAAGGTCTCAATAGCAGATGTGAAGAAGCTAAATCCATCTGCAATCCCCGATTTAATAATTGAACGACATTTGAAAAATGTCTGAGTTACTGAATATGCATATGCCCTCATTTTCAAAGGAACGTCCTATGTTAGAAGAAACGGCGTTTTTGGAAAAGGATAGACGTACTAAAAAAAACACGATGAATTACGAAGTGGTAGAATTAACAAGTTCAGTACTAATGATTATTAAAGTCTCTCGGCGAAAGTAGGTAGAAGGATAAAGGATAAAGCTCTAGGCGTTGATCAATCCATGGAGAATGTGCCGTGCATTCGACTTCATTAACCATAATTTTGGAGGTGATTGAATGCATATCTGGTCCTTGCAATGACTCGCGGTGACCTACCAATACATCGAGCCTGTGCTACTATCCTCCCAGACAGGTCTGGTACCAATTTGCCGACCCCGGTGGGACGGAAGGTTTGATGGACCTTGTGCGCTGGGATCGACTCCAAGTGTGTATTGAAGAGTGCCTTCGACCACTGCGCAACACGTGCCCTTGCGAAGATAGCTATTGCAGGAAACACTATTTCGCATTATCTGAACTCTGTGAATGCAATAAATGCAAACAAGTGAACGGAAATACAATCACAAGGAAGTTGAGATATGAGCAAAACTGAGAACCTCGTATCTGGGCTTTGAGCAAGTGATTTTTCTTACGGAAGTCTCTGTGCTAACCACCACATCAACCAGGACTATACCACGTGAGACTCAATAAGTGTGATCACGGGTTCGAAGCCCAGCTGAGGTGCTGAATTTTGTTCGTGTCTCAGCATCCGTGTAGTTTCTCTTCACATACCCAGTCATGAAGAAAGAATAGGCAGTAAATAAAAGTTAAGACAAACAATGAATTCTTTTCCGTTCACTTAACAAATCATGGCAGATAAGATTGCGAATATGGAAACCACCACAGTCAATCTTTAGATATGTCATGTAAAACATGAAAATCACTGATTACACAAAGCTTTCAGCCGTCGAGCTACTTATGTTTTCGACGTTGGTATCAACTGTTTGGGAAAAATTTCTAGCACATGCGTAAGAGAAAAGACCCATCTGAAGAAAAAAAACTGAAGACGGCTTGTGATGGAGGGCTGAAAATGCTCTATTAGAGTTACTTTAGAATTTCAGGCAGTGAAATTCACGCACAATATGAAAACCTTCGTCGATGACGGACGCGATGAAGCGAATTGAATGGAAGAGATGCCTGCATCGGCACAATATTTGAAGCCGAGTTATGCGAATAAGTTAATAGATGAAATGAAATAAGATTTCAATTA